GCTCACCTGCTCTCATGTCAGCGTGTGGGTGGTGGGCAAAGGCAAGGAGAAGGGCAAGAATAAATAAGACACACACAACGGAAAGATGTGGAACTAGAGCAGCTTTAACCTTAGCTCTCTCATAAGACTCGGGGCAAATCTGCTTCATTGTAAGCTCCTGTTTTATCATATTTAAAAATGGAAATGATGATGTTTGCCTCGAAGAATCGTGCTGAGGGTGAAACGGCACAATAAATAATAAGAGCACAGAGCCGATTTACCCACCCTGAGGCCCAGTGAGTCTGTGGCAAGCATTGTCTTCACTTGGTACCTTTGCTCCTTCACATGTGGTGGAGGCAAGCTTCTAGAAGAAATCAAGTCAGAAACAAAGCTGCTAGGGAGAGCCTTTCCTCTCCCACCGCCATTGCCTCCTACTGTTCCAAGGGATACAGCACAGGCTGCTCATGCACACTGTGTCTCTCTTTTGAAGCATTATTTCAGAAACACGGGAGGTGTTCCCTGAGGACGGAGACACACATCCATTAGAAGCCATTCAAATGCAAGCTGATGGCCAGCAGGAACTCCGTGTTGGTCAAAACATGGGGGGATGGGGGGATGATAAGGGGAGAAGTAGAAGGACCTGAGACAGGTAGGCTGAGAGCTATTGATAGAATGAAGGACAAGTCAAAGAAAAATGGCCAAAGGAGGGGTGGGAAAGGAGGGAGCCAAAGGCCAAACACAACACGGCCCACTGGGCCATGGCATGGGGCAGGTAAGGGTGAAGACATCACCTTGTGTCTTGGCCAGTATCTATCACATGGGTCATTTAGCACGTTCAGTGTCGAGTGGCCTGGTGGGCAGTGGGCCAAGCTTGGATGTTGTCCACAGAGATTTTAAACAAAGTATTGCTTTTTATAGCAGCTGTTTTAGCTCCATGGGACTCAGTCTCCTGGTCTGGGCTGTCCATAGCACGTCCAAAGCAGGTCTCCCATTAATTCTGAGCCACACGGATGGCTTTGGGTTAGCTTCTCAGGAAAGTGACAGACACTTCTCCACACATGTGGACTTCATCAGAAGACTAGTAACATTCAATCCAGACTCCTACTCTCCCCACTTTGCAGGATTGTTCAGGTCATGTATTTTTTTAACCACTTTATTCTAATTAACTCACAAATGAAAACATTGCACAAGCTGGTTTAAGGAAGCTACTCAAATACTTGCTCACTCCTAAACTTTATACATCTCCGTGGACGTCTACACAGTTAGGATGGCCATTCTGAAGCCATGGACCTTTGCTCAGGACTTTACACTTTTCACTATCAATTACATTTTTATTCACTTATCCAATACACACACACACCTCACATTGTGACAAAGTTAAAAAATAAATAGCTTTATATTAAGTTCCATAACTAATTTTTTTTGCCTACATTCGAACCTTCTCCATCACTTAATAGCACACCTTTTTTTTTTTTTTTAAATTTCAAGGAAAAGAATTTCCACTTCTACTCCATTCTTGTAATTCCTGTGAGGGAAGGAAACCATGGCAGGGGAGTCGGAGTCTATGGACCAGGTGACCAGGAGGCACAACAGCAGCTCACATCTTGTCTGAAGAATTACAGTCTGGGCCATTTGTGAACCCCAAGGATTCTGTTAGCATTGATTCTTGAACAGCAACAATATTTTCTAACTGATCCAGCAATTTAGCCCTTGCTGTGACTGATACAATCCCTATGAGTAATAAAGCAGTTTGAAAGAAATTTAATTCTCCACAAATCATTATTCCAAACATTTCAGTTTTAATTTTATCCACAATTTCCATTTCTTTCCAAAATCCATGGAGACCCCTGGACCCTTTATGCTAAGCCTTACTGGTCATACTGTGGGCAGCCAGGTCTTCTGTGCCCCTGGTCTGAGCCCTGACAGCCTGCCTACACTACCCCTGCAGATGCTCAAAGGCCCCAGCCAGAAAAACAGATGCAGTGAATGGCCCCTGCATACTCAGCCTCTGTGGAAACAGCCGGACAGGAGCCAATGAAGCATCCCCAAACCTGCTCTGGGAATACCACTGACATTGGAAAGGAGGCAGGGCATGCAGGGAGCAGAGCAGGAGGCTGGTAGAGGGAAGAAGAACACGCCAAAACCAAGAGGGAGTTAGATGGGCTGGAGGGATAAGAAGACCAGAGGGAACCTGAGCGTCCTGGGAGAGAAACAAAAATGCCTGTGGCTGCTGAGAGGAGCCCAGAAATGGTGTAGTTATCAGGGACACAAGGGACTAGGAAACTCTCCAGAAACCCAGCATCCAAGACCCTTCCATGAAGAAATAAGCACACATTTAAAAAGAATGGAATCAGGGAGTGAGGAGCACATGCCATTAGTCTCAGCACTCCAGAGGCAGAATCAGGCCGATGTCAGGAAGTTCCAGGCCAGCCACAAAAGGCCAGAGGTACATAGTGAGACCCTGTCCTTCAAAAATAAATAATAAGTAAAAGAAATGCATGGAAGGAAAGCCTTGGGGACTGGAGAGCTGTCCCAAGCTCTGCTCCACTCTGAAAACTACTCAAGCACACAGCGGGTAAAACACTTGCCTTATAAACCTGAGAACCCGAGTTCAGATTCCCAGAATCCACAGAAATCCAGACATGGTAGCACACATCTACAATCCCAATGCTCCTATGGTGATGTGAGAAGCAGGGACAGGAGAGTCCCTGGAAGCGAGTGGGCCAGCAGCCTGGCATACTACAAGAAACCTCATCTCAAACTGCAAACTACGAGAAACGTCATCTCAAACAGGGTGCAATGTGAGGACCAACACCTGAGGTTGTCCCCTGGCCTCTGCATTAAAGGCCATGGCACATGCTCGCTTACATTTACATCCATGCATAAAGATACACATGTGTACAGAGAGGAGTGGGGAGAAAGGGGTGGGGAAGGGTTAAAAACACAAAAGTCATCCTTGGATACAAGTGACTAAACTACCCACAAGACCAAGTAATTCAGATTCCTTCTCCTTCACGAGAGTGACCTCACACAAGCTACTTCATGGCTCAATGTCAAAATCCCATCTGTACTACCTGGGCTGTGGAGGACTTGTCCGAGAAGCACTTTGTTAGTTTTGTTTCAGAATGGAGTCAGACTTTTCAATATCTTTTGAGATGTGACAGGATCTTGGTGGAATTTCTCCCCAAACTCCCTGGCTCCCAAACATTTTAGCCACCCCCACCATAATCATCAGATAATAGAATGTAAGAAACTTCTAGGTCTGCAGTTCAGAAACCAGGGTGAGGAAATATGATGCCTGTCTGTAATGTTCCAGTTATTTCTAAATTCAGTAAAGGCACTTTTGCATAGACCATCTGTATATGGCTCAGCACCATTATTTCTGTAAGATGAACATATCATCATCAACTAGCCATCCAGTCACTCCTTCACAGGAACGACTTGTTTGATGTTGCACTGTACTACTTACACTGGTTATTCTCAAAAAATAAAAAACAAAAAAAAACATTCCTATTAGCAGCTTCCCAGTTCCCAGTGCTTGAACCTTGATCCCAAACTGGACTGTCTCCTTTTGGTGACAGCTAGAAGAAAGAGTCAATGGAGCCAGCACTATTTCATGGATTTTAAATGAACTTACATAACAGAGAGAGAGAGAGAGAGAGAGAGAGAGAGAGAGAGAGAGAGAGAGAGAGAGAGGAGGAAGAACAGTCAAATGCATTTATTACTTTAGGTTTTGAATATTACAACCTATCATTGTCACCTTTATACCAGTGGACACGTTCAGAAGTATGTAAGAGTAGAGGGAGACGGGAAAGGAAGGCACTATGGGTCTTAATTCAGTCTGATAGCCAATTTGTTAATTAATAGTCTATCAAAAGATGTTCTTTCCCAAAGTTCTGCTTAGCCGTGAGAAACAGTGCTGTTGGCTAGCTTGATGCAGATGCAGACATACATCTGTACTGTGCTTTGATGCTTAGATGTGAAACTGAAGACTGAGGCAGATTAAAGGTACTGTATCTAGGTCTTGCTCAGGTCATTTCTTAAGGCAACATGATGAAAGATGAGGTTCTGTAGGCGACAGGAGAACTCATCTTTCCTTCCAGCTGGCAATACCTGAAAGGAGGTCAAATATTTACCCTTGGCAACAGAGTACTCGAGCCTTCTTCGACTTAATACAACCCTCTGCCCCATTCCCACAGGAATGAGTCTGAGAGACATTAAGCCACCAGCTAATGCAACTGAGTCTGTCATTCCTTCTAGTGAACAGCAGGAGAATCAACATTTACATGCCATTCGGTCTTGGGGTTCTTGTTCCTTGGCTCCATCCGACATTAGTCATCTTATGGGTCTCACTGGAGAGGAACAGAGTGCTTCTCTGATGATATCATCCAACTGAGATAGACAAAGTGACCACTTTACCAGGCCCCGGGCAGGGCAGGTCACCAGAGGAAAGGGCAGAAAGGAGAGAGCGCTCCAGAGAGGGAGATGATTGCATGAACACATCCAGAAGACCACACCTTCTCCGATTCCATGCATTAGCATCGATAGTCTCCTAAGGCCACAGCATGACACAGTCTGGTGACCCGTGGCCCATTAACTACTGGATTTGCCATATACCCCACACCACCAATAAGCAGATGAACCAAAATATTGACACATTAACACAGCAAGATTCAGAAGTGGTTATCCACCAGAACTCAAACCAGAAGAACAAGAGTATCCCAAGGCACTGTAACATCCTCATGGTATTGGAAGCTGAGGACCACAAAGGCCCTCTGCAGAGGCTGATTTCCGGACTCCAGGGGAGACTTTGTGTATGTGGCCTCTTCAGTTAGTAGAAGTTCCTGCAGCAGGGTGAAGCAGTCTCATGTGGAGGGGCATACTACTCTTCTTCATTTTCTGAAGAACTTGGTTCACTTCACCTATCAGTTCTGCTTGGGTTACTGGGCACACTCAAAAGCCAATGGTTGCCATGGTAATTCTGCTTTGTGATGGAATCTAACATTGTCTGATCCCTTGTACACTGCCAGGATGTATTTGGGAGAACTGTTTATGGAGTAACTCAAAAGAAGTAAAGACTGAAAATAGCCCAGAAGTGCCAAGTTAGAACCAGGGAAACATCTACTACAAAAGCCCACTGGAGAAGATGCCAGGAAACAGGCAGAGGTGAGGGCAAGGTATGGCAATCTTTCTATTTTGCACTGAAGTCTCAAGAAAATGAGTTTACAAGCAAAAACTGATTATCCTGTGCGGCATTACTCTATTGCTCATAGAATTCACTATTAAGTGCATGGCTAAGTATAATCTTTACAGTAAGATCCACAGATGAAATGGCCTACCTTAATACCTCCTCCCCAGTCAGCCACACTTGGATAGGCCGACTCCACAGCTGCTGACTCAGCATCCGCATCTTACTACAATCCCCAGATGATTCATGCCTACAATGAGGTTGGAATGTCCTAAGACACACTGGGAGTTATCATCTGAAAAGCCTCTGGGCTAGGAAAGTCTTGGTAGAATAACTTTGATATTGCATGATAGATTTTTAAGGCCAAATTGCCTGACATCACTCCAGAAGCAATTCCTGATGTACAAAATTATTAACTCTTGAATAATTCAATATTCTTATTTGTAAAACTGTATCACCTGTCTCACAGAGCCCAGTGAGCACCACAGGAGCTCCCATATGCAAGGCACTTAGAACAGTGTCGGCCATGTTGTTAGCAGCTGTCCGCGGTAGTTGAGGAAGTACAGTTCTGGAATCCTTCAAGGATCTAAATCAACAGGTGTCCAATCCCTTATTTTTAAAAACAGCATACTATCTTCTCTTCATTTGCATACTGCTATGCTCTGATACTTTTAAAAACATCTACATTTAATATCTAACATTATGAATTGGTGTTATACAATACCATTAAGGTGGGAAAAGTGACCAAAGTCTGTGTATGTTCTGTAAAGGTGAAATTTTCTTCAAATATTCTCTACTCTACTGACCTATTGGTTGAATCTGAGAAGCGCAAATATCCAGCAGCCAGATAAATGGAGAGATGGTTGTAAATGGGAACTGACTAATGGAAACAGAAGTGGTTTCTACTCCTGACTACTGCCACATAACCTGACAGACAAGTCCTTTGTGGGATATATTCCATTACCTAACCTCCATCTGACATAACCCTGCCAGGACCCTGTTCCCAAGGAAGCACACAGATAGACTTCATAAACACTATACTACATCCCATCACAACCTGAATAAACCATGGGTGGTCCAATACGAATGCTCTTCAGATAAATAAGGGAGATCATTTCTCCATGGTTAACTGATTCCCTCCCTTCCCTACCAGAACAAAAAAAAGTTCGGACTATATAAGCAAGGGGAATCTGATGGGTTTGGAGGGAAGAGGGGGAGGAAAGAAATGATGATACAGTTACACTTTAATTTTCTACAGTTCAAAGTAAGCCAGCAATTTAAGAATAAGTTGCCTGTGATTTTCTGCATTAACCAATCAGTCCAAGTTGCTCCCATGCTTGGCAGCTCTGTCCTACAATGCCAGGTTGAGGCAGTGACCAGCTGCTAATTTGGGTGTGAAGAGGAGAGAATCCAGGCTGGATAAAGGCCATATGGCTTTTCTGACGTGGTAGCTCCAGATGTTGGCTTGTTACTATAGAACAACTGAGTTAATTATCAGATTCTGTGGAATTAAAACCCTGGGACATGGTGGGGGGATGGAAATAAGAAATCAAGACTGTATGGAGACCATGTCCTTGTATACACACACACACACACACACACACACACACACACACGCACGCACGCACGCACGCACGCATGCACGCACTCGCCCAGGAACCTTTAGAGAATCCAGCACAGAGACAGCTGGAAGGGAAAAGATGGCGTTTAGAAAGTTAAGAACAGTGCTGCAGAATTCTCCCCTAAAGGGAGTTTCCGTGGGGTCCATAGAATGATGACATTAAGAGGCTAGCATTCCTAGGGATGTCAGCCATGGAAGGGTATGGAAGCTTCTATGACAACTAGTATGGTTCTTTCCCAGAATTCCTTGTTGCTCCCTTGTTGCCTGAACCAATGCTCTTGGGAGGGAGTGTCTGCCCTGTCCTCACCCTCTTGCCAATCTCTAATGTCTGCTCCTTTTCACTGAAATAAATTAAGTTATGTAGGTCAACTGATTTAAAATTCTCAAGAGCAGGTAGTACATTACAAACAAGAGGGACATACTATGCTATTCTCTGGGCTGCATGTCATATATTAAAATGCAAACACACAGATGATTTCATCAGCATAAAAATGGAGAGTAGGACCAAAGAGCCATGTCTAATCTTTGATCCCTGGTCACCAGCAACCTCCCTAGGGACTCAGCTCTGCACTGCCCAATTCTCTGGCAATTCTAACAGACTGTCGGGCCTGGGGTCCGTCTTACCTTTCAAGGCAAATGCAAACTATCCCTATTATCCTCAGGATCCCACCACAGGATGCACAGCAGCCATCTTGACCACAGTCTGATGTTCCAGGAGAGGCAGTATCATGTGTGCATTTTTGCGGACTGAGAACACACATTTGCTAAGTGACACCAAAGACATAATTTAGATACCAGAAAGGGGCAGGAAGAGAGATCCAGTCTCAGCATGTGTTGTCAGCATCTCATCTCCTCTGAAAGAAAGTAGGCAGCAGAGGCTTCCAAGCAACTACTCCATCTGAAAAAGCTGCATTGTTCACCCAGCAGGGCACCCTTGGCAGTCACACCTTTCTGAGCTGAGAAAGAATTTCTATCCATTTATACTAAAAAATCTAAAGACAATGCTCATTAACGCACCAGGGGAAAGCACTAGAATAACACCCCGAAAGTGTATCTGATAGGGATAGGAGTGGTGGGAACAGGGACAGTACACACTCAAATGACCTTTGCTGACATCACTCCGGAGTCCCTTCAGTCTGCGCCAGCTTCAACCGGATGTGAAGGGGATAGGTTAAAGGCAGACTGGAGCCTCTGAAGTCACACTGCTACTGAAGAGATCACCCAGGGGTCTAGGAGCCCCATGGGAGAGGGCAGCATTGCCCAGGGAGCCTGCTCGCCAGCACGGACTCTCTTCCGCCAGTAGTCTCCCTTCCTCATCTTGCTTAGTGTGAACAGACAGACCCCAAAGGTCAAAGTGCAAACGTCTATCGCCAGCCTCCTTGCAAGAGACGTCAACTTCTTTGAGATCCACATTGTGGCCCAGGGTTTCCAGAAGCTCCCATGGTGTTGTGCTTCACCTTCTGCCAGCTTCTGGACCTGACATCAGAACTAACCCTGTCACCTCAGCCTGAATCTGCAAAGTGGAAGACTGCAAAATAATCTGAAGCAAGCTCTCAAAATGCTCAACGAGTACGAAAAGGAGCAGCATCACCCAGATTTCACAGACAGGGCTATATTATAAATGGAGGGGAAACCGTAAGTTACCAATGTAAAGAACACTCATGTCGGGAGCCCTGGCAGACAGTCTGCCCTCAGCAAGGACGTGAGGCCTGCACGGGACAAAGGACATTGCCAATTCCTAACTTGAACTCAGGTGTGAGTGGTGACAGGGCAGAAGATCACCGAGACTCAAGACAGAAGAGTCACAAACTACTACTGATGGTAGACAAAATAAAACGCCAGTGCCCCAAAGTCAACGCTTCCATCATCAAGAACGGACTGACCCAAGACAAGAGTACAGGGCAGTGAGCACAGGGGCATCCAGTACCACTCTCCAATGACAGGAGCTGGGATGCCTGGAGAAACAGTAGATCCCAGGGCTAGACAGACCAAACAGGACGTACATGAAGGACCCTGGGGTTCGAGAGTAGAAAAGGATGTCGGATGTCCAAGAGCAGTAAGGAGCTCTCAGGGGGCTAAACTATGAGAATCTGAGCAAAACCAGCCTTACTGAATTATCTCCCAACTAACCATGATATTGGCATAAATTAATACTGACCAAACAAAAAGAGATGGAAAGGGCAACAGTTCTTCCTATCAGAAAACTCATTCATACATATAGAAGGGAAGGGAACAACAGGAAAATCTTTCTCAGGCTGTAGCAGTGAACTCAGGTGTTGCAGGCAACAGCCACTGATGAATTCTAAAATCCTATGGAAAAGTTTGACAAGAGCCAGGCTATTTTCGAAGCCTCAGGCTCTCTCCCCTAGGAATGCACTAGGGGGATGAGAAAGAGCAGCAGCACCACAGTGAAGCAAGATATCGGATCCCAGCAGTCACTGAGCGATACAGGGCCACAGCAAGACAAAGGCATCATTTTCCCACTGCTAACACACACCAAAGGGCGTACCACCCCTGTAATACCCGAGACTACTTGCTCAGTCTGCAGAATTGTATGTGCTCAGTCGACTGTAAGGAAATAAACCCAAACCAGCAAACAAGCTGATGGATCTGCAATCTTCAAAAGTCATGGTGATAAAAACAAAGGAAGAGAGTCTTGGCCCCAGTGGGAGGTGATGGGGGAAGAAGGGGAAGCAAGAAGAGATGATTAAAGGCAATATAGATCCTGAATTGGAGCTAGGATCAAAACAAGGATGTAACTAGAAAAACTAGCAAGCTCACAACAAGTTCAACTAAGAGACTTGTAAGCCACCATTAATTTCTTGGTTTTAATCATTTTAATATGGTTCTGCCAGATGCTGAGCTTCTAGGAGGCAGGCTGGAAAGGAGATGTAGGAACTCTGCACTATTTCATAATCTTCATGCAACCCTAAAATTACCTCAACATAAAAACGGGGGTGGGGGGAGTCACGCTGACTAAACAGTGTGCTTATTGACACAGTATATACTCTGGGAAAGTCTTGATCTTGTCAAGGACCAGTAACTGGTCAGGAAAACATACACTCATACACTATGCACAATGGTTTGCATGTTAGTATTCTCAGACCCTGGGTTCAAGCTCTGCACTAGACAAGAGAACATACTGATGTCACAAGGGCACTGAGAAATCAGATGAAGTTCTGGTGTCTGCTCTAATTTCACATCTACACCAAAAGGGCCAACCTATTTGTGACCTTGGGCAACTCACCTGTTGTCTTTATACTCAGTTTTCTCATAATTAAGTTGAAGAATAACGTGGACTCTACCTCTTCACAAGGATTAGCTGAAATGAACTATGTGGAAAAGTTTTAAAAAAAG